TGCCTGGAGGATATTGAAGCAGTTGTGTTCATTTAGATTGAATAAGGTTCTTTCTGAATGTTTGAACTGAAAACAACCATTAGCTAGCGCTTTTTTTTGTTACGATTAAAAGTATGCAGTTGACTGCTTATTTGTACTCATTGAAATATTCGTTTGGAAGGTCCATAGGTTCGCTACCAGACAAGACAACAGAAGTGATGGTGGTTTTTGATACCCTGTAGTAGTGGACAAGAGAAGACGCAAACTTTCTTGAATCAAAACAACAGTCAGTGGAAAAATTGTTTCTTTCAAATAATAATCAATGAAAAATGTGGCAAAAACGAAATAACTTTTTTTAAAAACATTCTTCATTCACTCTCTTCCCCTTTCTTTTCGTGCATATACTTTAAGTACAAGAAGTCGGAAAGTTAAAGTCGTCTTTTTTACATAATAAACATGTGAACAACATTGAAATGTTTCAACGTTTCGGAGGCCGTTCTTATATCCTAGAAGATCATCTGAATTTTGAATCTTCGCGCGTTAAATACGTTGACTTTCACTACTGGGACCAATTGAAGGCGGAAAACGGGGGAAATGTGGAGGAAAATCAAAAGGTTTATGAGATTACGAGAGCAATTCCATGAGATACATGGTAGTGATCTCAAACGTTGAAGTCAAGCACTGATCGAGACTGAAGTAGAATCATTACTTTAATAATCAAATAAGAACGACTTAAAGTCACTTTTACATGTTTCTATCAAATTTTTCCTCTAAATTCATGATTTCTGAAAGTTGCGCAGCTGTCTACGTTATAGCGCATGTTGGGAGCGGAATGATTTTAAGGTTGAGATAGTGCAGAGTATCTCGGCTCATACTCAACGAATCCCCTACATCCCTATATCAGATTGCTTGCAACGTATAAAGAATCCAGCTGACAATTGCGCAACTTATATAAGTTTCATTGTACTTTATTGTTCTCTGTTCTCTCTTGATTCATTACTCGGAGCTATTTGTTCTTCTATAGTTTAATTTTATTTAATTTCACTTCCAACGAAATGCATGCCTTTTGAAGTCC